GAGAGAGAGAGAGAGAGAGAGAGAGAGAGACAGCGTGTGTGTAGCTAACACTATATGTGTCACTGTCATAAATCACGTGAGAAGGTTTTACTAACGTTGTATAAACTAACAATAGTTTCTTCTCTCTGTGCTTTCAGGGTCTCTGCGGTTGCTGCTACGCCGTCACAACGGTAAGTGTTATAAAGTCCACCTCGACCTCGAAGGCCACACAGCTCACTGTAACGACCCCCAAACATTCCAAACAACCTCTAAACATTCTTCCCCCAAAACAGTAGCTGCGTTCACACGAGACTCCGTATTTATGAAATTCGGTATTTGCGAGATACCGAATCTAAGACAAATTCGCGACCGAGCGTTCACACGCTGATTCGCGGCTCCAGAAATGCCGTATTTGCGAGCTGCGAGCTGCTTTAGTACATACATAAAACTGAAGAAAAAAAACAATGCGTCCAAGCGAACAATCAAGCGAACAATGCGAAATAAACAATGCAATGCGCACCAACTGCCGATAAAATACCTAGACTGGTTCGCGCTCGACGGTTCCACTCGTGTTACACTGGAACTGTCGAGCGCGGACCAGTCTATAAAATACGCGGCTTCAGAAATTCGGTATTAGCGTTCACGCGAGAGAAATACGCGGTCCAAGAGATCCGGTATTTATCAGGCACGGCAAATAATTCGGCATCTGGGAAACCGCGTATTTCAACAAATACCGAATCTATTTAGATTCCGTATTTCTTGGACCGCGCATTTTGCCTCGTGTGAACGCTAAATACCGAGTTTCTTGCTACGCGTGAACGCGGCTATTGTTCGCTTGATTGTTCGCTTGGACGCATTTTTTTTTTCAGTGTACTAAGCAGCTCGCAGCTGAGCAGCTCGCAAATACGGCGTTTCTGGAGCCGCGAATCAGCGTGTGAACGCTCGGTCGCGTATTTGTCTCAGATTCGGTATTTCGCAAATACCGTATATCATAAATACGGAGTCTCGTGTGAACGCAGCTATTAGTAACATTCACGGAAATCTTCAACAGATTTTTCACTAAAAAATGCACAAAGGATTTCTACAAGAGTCACTTATCTCCCTTTTCTCCATTTCAAAAACAATGCACACAGGGTTTTTATGTGAGAACACATTACTCACATTTCATCAGCTCATTATTATAGACAATCTGATTACGAATTTCGAAACGAGGACTATATCGAATGCAAGAGCATATGAACAAATCAAAGCGTTTCGAATTTTGAATTAAGGCTTTTGGGCTTTCGTAGGATTTTTTTAGTGTTTTACATTTCTCTAATCACCAACTTTTTTCAACTCTTCGTTCGCGTTTTTGATTTTTCTCCCTGTTTTTTTTTGTATTCCATCAGATGTCGACGTTGGAAACACAGCGCTGTCTGGCCAGCAATCAATTCACACCGCTCAGCTTCCAGCATGCGATAGACTGCAATCCATTCACGTACGGCTGTGATGGAGGATGGCCTTATGATGTCTACTGGTGGCTGTACTACACTAATGCTACCATCAACGAAGCTGATTACGGATATCAGGTAAACATATATATAGTGGGAACATCTCACGAGGAGGTAGG